GTGGCTAATCCAGTCTCCCGAGAGACTCTCTCGAGCTACACTACTTCCGTTAAGCTTACGGGTGCTTAACAAACCGTTACAACCTGAGAACTCGAGTCCCACGAGCCTCAACAACCTTGCTCGGAGATACCGCACTCCAAGACTTCAACCCGAAGGAAAATACCTTTCCTTCGTACAACCAAGGGAAACAAGCTTCCCTTAACGTGTATACAACACTAAGACACTCAAGAACAAGACTCTCCTTAAGAGTGGATATGAGTAAAATATATACGCTCAAGAACAACTCAAAGCCGAACCCGACAACCGAAAGCCGAACGCTGGTTTCTGAAAGCCGAACACTGTATGGCTTGGTTTTTGGTTTGGGCGAACACCAAGCGTTTTTTAATGACTTAAACAAGTTTAAAACTATTTTTATGATGTATGAAATGCAATGAGAGTTTTTAGCCTAAAGAGCCAAAGTGTAAAGATTGGGTCGGTCTTGATCACAATAAAGACCGACTCAATACTATGATTAAGGTCTTCGTTCTTGGTCTTCGTTTAGCTCTTGCTCTTATCTTCATTCTTCGCCTTGTATATTCAATGTTTGACTTGATCACGGCAGTTTGGCGTTATCAAAACCTGTTACAAAAACGAACACGGCTTTAGTACTAAAATGTGACAAGCCCGTGTTTCAACACCCCTTGTGTTTATTTATAAGTTATAAATATAAGTTTTTATACTTTTATATACTTAGGTATTTGTTTTGTTTCTAAGTTATATTATAAGTTCAATGTTTATATAAGTCATATTTATAAGTTCTTATGTTTATTTGAATAAGTTTTATTATAAGTTTTATAAGTTTTATCATATGTGTAGTAGTTAGTATGCTTTTATTTGTTTTATTTTTGTGACAATGTGTTTGCATGCTAAATTGGTTTGAAAACGTACAAACTTTCTCCGTGGATCGACCCTTACTTGCCCTAGCTATAGTTTTTATTTGATTATATCTTGGGGGTTAGTTAAGGATATTTATAAATTTTTAATTTGTTTTGGACCCTACGACAAGTCCCCAACACCATGCGAAACGGCACGAACTTGGTTAGCCGTGGTTTTCAACTAAATGACGTTGTTTTCAAGATGTTTTACTTGTTCTCTTAGCAAAATGCAATAAACAAATGTTTTCTAAACTTGGTTTTTATTTTGGAGAACTTGCATTTTTGACATCGGCTAACGGCGTGACTAAACCAACCATGGGTTCTGCTAAACCAGCTCAACAGCGATGTTGAGGTAATCAACAGCGCTGTCTGGACTGGGTAGCTAAAAACATGGTTTGGCGTTAAGTCTTCCAACAGCGATGTTGGTCACTAGACATCGCTGTTGAGCCAAGGTTGGATTTCCAGAAACTTTTGGAACAGCGATGTAGGCTTCCCTACAGCGCTGTCCAACCTAAGCCAAAAATATAGGGCATTGGCAGAAAGTTTTTGGACAGCGATGTTGACCCAGCAACAGCGCTGTCAGGCCAAACTTCCATCTCCAAAGGCAGACCTAAACAGCGATGGTCTAGGATAGAACATCGATGTAGTGACCTGACCGTTGGAAGGAATTTAAGGCTAAAACATTCCTTGTTTGGAAGTCAACAGCCAAAACAGCGATGTAGGGGTTTTGGACATCGCTGTTGGCATGACCGTTGCTTCCCAATTTTTGAAAATCAAGCCTAGAACAGTGATGTCCAAGCCTAGGACAGCGCTGTCTGGGTGAATTTCAGCAGATCCAATTTTAATCAAATCCCACAAATTATGCCAATCACCCCTTAAATACTTTGGTCCGTTGGAGTGTTTGGGTCTGTTTTACATATCACATTACTTCACAACTCCTACTCTTTCATTGCAAATCATTCTTCAATTTTTCATAGCTTTTGAGAGCCATTTTTGTGAAGCCTGTGTTATGTTCTTGAGCGTTCTTAGTTTACTCATTATCCACTCTAAAAGAGAGTATTGTTCTTGAGTGTTTTTAGTTTTCTTAAACACTTGACAAGAGAAGGTATTTCTCTTGTTGTTCGAAGGAAGGGCTGTTTCCTTCGAAGGTTCGTTGAGGTTCGTGTGACTCGAATTCTCAAGTTGTACGGGTTTGTTAAGCACCGTTAAGCTTAACGAGATAGTAGTGTAGCTCGAGAGAGTCTCTCGGGAGGCTGGACTAGCGACAAGTTGTGGTGAACCAGGGTAAAATTGGTGTGCCTCGTTCTTTTCTCTTTACTTCTCGCTTATTCATTTTTATTCCTGCGATTTCTTGATCAAACTCTATTCACCCCCCTCTAGAGTTGGTCTATTATTCTAACAATTGGTATCGAAGCCTAACTCGCGTCCAAACTTAACCGTTTGAGAGTAAAGCGATCATGGGCTCTTCTTCTAGAAATCTCTATGCAGGAATTGGAGAAGGTCAATCAACCTCTAGGCCACCACTCTTTGATGGCACCAACTACTCTTATTGGAAGGAACGGATGAGAATCTATATTTGTTCCACCAACTTCCAATTGTGGTTGGTGATCAAAAATGGCGAAGAAATCCCTATGAAGAAAGTGGGAGAAACCACGGTCCCAAAGACCGAAAACGAATTTGGTGCCGAGGACATCAAGAAGATCGAAAACTATGCAAAGGCCATCAATATGCTATATTGCGCGGTCAACCCCGATGACTACCGAAAGATCTCCTGTTGCACAACCGCCAAGGAGATGTGGTACAAGCTTGAAGTGACGTACGAAGGTACCGATCAAGTTCGCGAAGCCAAGATCGACTTCCTCACCCAAGAGTACGAAATGTTCCGGATGAAAGAAGGTGAGAAAATTGATGACATGTTCGACCGGTTCTCAAAGATCATCAACGATCTTCATGCCCTAAAAAAGACCTACACCAACAAGGATCTTGTGAGGAAAATCCTGCGGAGTCTCACACCTGAATGGAGGTCAAAAGCCGATGCAATCTACGAATCCATCGGAGTCTCCAACGTCACCATCGACGGGCTAAGAGGTAATCTTAAAACCTATGAATCTACTATTCTAACCCCGTCTTTGGATGAACAAAAGAAAAAGGGGATAGCTCTCAAAGCCACCAAGGAACCGGTGGAAGAGGCTTCAAGCGATGACGACAATGAATTCGGGCTCGTCATCAA